AAAAGATAGAGAGTGTCGGGATATTTTTATTTCCTCGTAGATCTAGGCTCTCCTCTCCGCCTTGGTGACGTCCACTTCGGAACGGACCGTGCAACAGAAATCGTAATATTTTAATTTCGCCATAACTCTAAAACTAGACGTCCAATTTTAATCATTCAAAGACCAAGTATTGTATAGATACTGTACTTAGTGATGAAATAATTTATTTTGGTATGGATTAATAGCACTGGTAAAATAAACCCGTTTAACTCGTCGAGTACCGTCATTATAGACACAATTATAGAACAATAGGTTGCGGTCACCGGTGACCGCTCGGTGTTTGACAGTTTAAGTGCAGTCCAAACCAATTCAAGATTTATAAATAAAAATAAGGTTGTTGTGCCTCAGTCGACGTAGATAGATAATTATAGTGTGTCGCGGTGTTTTTGGACTTTCTGTTCTAATTAATTGTGGGACAAGTCATAAGATCTCCGAAACATTTTATGAGTCTATCTTTTATGGTTTAGACAGTGTAGGTTTGCAAAATAAATAACTTTTCTGGTTGATTTTTTACACCTTAAACTCGTCATTGAGATTCTAGAATTTCTATGTTAGCGTTATGACGACAATTTGATCAATTTTTTTGTGTAATGTAAGTTTCTCATTTTAATTTGTTTAAATACATAACATCACGCCTTTAATCCCCGCAGGGGTAGTCAGAGGTGCACATTTTGGTACTTTATGCCACTGTACAATGTAACACCCACTTTTCACTATTTATGTTATGAGTCCCATGTAATAGGGAGTGAGCGTATTGCCATATACCGGGCACAATTCCAGACTTCACGGAAGTACTGAGAATTTTAAAAAATTACAATATACTTTGCCCGACCCTGGAAACAATCTTGAGACCCGCAGTCAATAAACTATTAGTGGAGAAACTAAAATTCTTTTTATTTAGGTAATTTAAGGTGTACATATTTATTTATTTATTTATTAACACTTCTGCATAACAAACATACGATGGCAGAGATACGATGGTTAGAGAATGCCACCCGGCATTAAGTCAATGCCGGGTGGCATTCTCTAACAGACAACCATGTATGTATTTTCTTTCTTTGCAACAAACTTAAGTAACAACTTGAGTTGCTGATTATGTAAATTAAAATCTTTAGTGACACAATAAAGAAAACCTGTCTAATTAAAAATATGAATATCTATACATATTTATACTTGAACTTTTTCTGCAAGTTGAAATTATAGAAAAAAGTGCAGATTTCCCATTTTCTACATGTCCTATTCTGACAATAAAGACTAAAAGTCTTTACAAGCAGTTTCTGGTTAGAAGTTATATGGGTATAAACAGAATGCTTGGAAAAAATAATTTATTTTTACAATTTTAATAGTTTTTTTTTCATGTTATTTATGCAACATCAGCCTTGAGCCGTTGATTGCAATTATTATTACATAAAAATAAACTTTTAATTCCTTACTTTTTTGAAAATAAAACTAGTTTTATACCATCACCTGCTCCAGTTATGTTCATTTTTGGAAGCCTTCTGTTTAAACTATCAAACACCGCGAGGACACCGGTGTCTGCACACCTATTGTTCTTTATTGTCTATATTGACGGTACTCAAAGGGTTTAACCCTGTGGATTAGCTAGTGATAAACAAAAATTGTTGTTTTTATTCTGCATATATCCTGTTTGTATCCTACATTAACTGCTTAAACTGAGTTGTCATTGAAATAGCGCTAAAGTGAAATTTGAACGGCAATTACTTTTTGCATTATAAGAGATAGGTACTCAAATAATTTTAAAAAACTAATTACCATACACTTCTGTACTTAGATTCTGTCTCTATTACTTTGTTCATTTACATCTAATTAATTTATATAAAATTGTAGGTGTAAATCAATTCACAAACAATATCAAATGAAAATGTGCAGTCACTTGGTTCCCATTAATCATTATCATAACTTATAATAAATTGCATTTATAACATAAAGTGTGTAATTTTATAAGTAAATTCATTTCAATTTTGAACAATCATTATATTATAACCATATAAGAGATGCTAAAATGCCTATTTTATACTGAAAGCTGCAACAAAATTTTCTGTAGTAAAAAAATGGTAAAAAGAATATGAAATTAAAAATTGACCAGTTATTTAGTAAATCTATGAAGTTGGATGTGATGTTTATTGACATACAAAGCGATAAAATAACCTGAAATATTAATAGATGCAATTTATTACATTGTAATGATGAACGTTGTACTTACTTTTCCTTTTCGATGACAATGGTTTTGTCGCCCCAGCCGCGGCGCGCTAGGTGGTACGCCACGGCGGCCCCCATCATCCCGCCGCCACATATTACCACTTTAGCCTTCGGAGGCAACGCTGACAAACAACCCTCTAACCGTTCCTCATAATCAAGAGCATCTAAGCGGCTCGAAAACTTCCTTGACACTATACCTAGGCATTTATGTGCATTATACCGCCTCGCTCCCCAAATTTGTTTAACCAACATCGTTTAGATTATTCACGCATGTGTAATGTAGATATACAAAAAACGGAATAAAAAGTGCATTAGAAAAATATGCACCGGGACTAAAAAGTATCTAAAAATAATCAACCGACTCGAGAGGACATAATGTTTGTTTTGACATAAATTTGACACTCTTGACAGAATGACTGACCCGAACCCGACTCCTGACTTTCTGACTGATCTTCAGTGTTGTCATTGCAAATATGAAAGTAGCAGCAACATAAAACGCAAATGACAAATACTATGAGAAAACAAACCACGCAATTCCACATTTTTTAATCGTAAAAAAATTATAGGCTCTTGTTACACACGTATTGTCTCGAGGGAACTGAGAACGTGATTGCCGAATCTTAGAACGGCTCTCAGTCTCGACACCTCCGATTCTATATCAATATTGATCAACGCTATTTCTGTATGTTAGGGATACTAACACTAACACAATCCGATTCTACCGGCTAATGGACGCTCTCGCTTCTAATTCTAACCCCCTAATATATTCACCTTGCACCAGTTTCTTGGTTTAGAAATGGCCTTCACCAGTGGCGTAGCGGGGCTTGGCGGGGCCCATATAAAAATCTTTGAGGGGCTTCAACATATATTTTCGTTTGGGGATCCTCAAAAAATTATTTAATTAATAAACGTTTTAATAAATGCACAGAGAAAAAATACTGAATTAATTGGCCACCGTTTTACATATGAAACTAGGATTGTAAAAGTACATCAAAATCTACAAAGTTTTCAATTTTCAACACAACTTTCCTTCTATTTCTTCTTCAAATAAGTGACTTTGGTAATTGTAGACTTTTAGTTTAAAAAATTAAGTTTTACATAATTTATTAATTTTTGTAACCCGTAAACCGGAGGGCCTTGTATAATTGATATGGCATATGGCAGATACAGTGCTAACTACGCCTCTTGCCTTCACCAAATAAGTTTAACCCCTTGGCAAAAGGCGATACATACCCAAATTTTATCGGCATATTAGTCTCGACATTGACATGACAACGATAAAAATTATTGATAAGTAATTTCATAATTTTCAATAGTAGCAGAGTAGACCTTTGGTGGTCGAGTGGTCGCAAGTGTGACTAGGTACCAAAAATGGTCTTAGATTTGCTTCTTGTGTCGACAAAATGTTATTTCAGTCGCGGGTTTGTGGCCGTACTTACCAAAGTATGATAATAAGAGGGGACCTCTATTCTAATATGATGAACTCCTTCTTCTAGAAGCGCCCGTTTTGAGGCCTTTTATAGGATAAACTGAACCGGTAAACGAGTATACCTAAGCAATCGGCGCTTCTCATGGACACTCGAAACCCCGGCCTTTAGGTTTAGCCAGGGATTTGAGAATTGATTGTGAATTTGGGGATTAGTGTAATTGATTGCGGATAGTTAACGCGACCTCAAAGGAAGCCGGCATACAAATCAAATATACGGTATACGAATGTTTGCTGAAGAACACAGCAACGGCACCCTTACATTTTTGTATAAAATCAGCTTCCATGTAAAAACGGACACTGGCGAGTTTGTCGTTTACGTCGTTTGGTGTCGTATGAAGGACTAAGAGAGAAGCCTCTGTTCAGCAGTGGATAAAGAGGTCTTCCGTCAATGAAAACATTGAAAGGTGCAACGTAATGTCGAATTACAAATCTATTTTAATTATGTGAATATTGTTTTATTGTTGTGTTCTCATTGTCATACCGCAGGGCTTGCAACCCCAAACTCAAACTCAAAAGCATATAATTCAATTAAACCATAATTTGGTACTTTTAAAACGAACGAAACGTCAACAAATATGAAATATATAATAGTCTGTCAGTCTGTCCGTCAGTGAAGCTAGGCGCTCGTTCCAAAATGTCGATTCGAGTGGAGAAGTACGAGCAAGAAACACCATTCGTTACTCTTTTAAAAAAAAGTCTGTTTTACATTGCTCCGATACATATTCCAATACTGTACACACATGTGAGAACAATGTAAAGACATACCTGACGCAACATACAAATAACAGAACATACTAAAATAGAAAAAAAAAAACAAAACCAAGAGAAAACAAATATCTTGTCTGACATGGTCCTCACATATGTATAGATACTGACAATCCACATAAAATAGTGCTTCTATACAAGAAAAAAATATAAAATAAACTCTTGTTTAAATATAAAGAAAGAAATACTCGATGCCACAAGAAAAATAGATTGCCTTCATCGGAATCAAAGTATTAAATTACCTATTATCGTAATCTGAACTAGGTACTGACTACATTTGAGTATTGTCCAGTGGAGCCGAACCAACACGCTGCCAAGCATTCCTATCCTCAAGATGCATGTCATGGCTTTTAACCTCTGGTATGCCGGGGACGTACATATACGCGAGACACAATGTGTTTTCTATTGTGTCTCATATACCGGTAGATAAGGGGTTAAAAGAGACGAAACGGAACTCGACTGCCTACTTTATGTAGGTATGTTTGTTAAATCGATAACTACAAAACGGTTTTGTAACACCTTGGTACCATCTGTACCAGTTAGTGCCTACCATAGATTCAAAGTATAGTAACTATTAGAACCATAGAACCGAGAGGGTTGCGTAGATTTAAAAAAAAAGATTGTTTATTTCAGTTTCCATAGCAACCGGTGGCGACACTTGTAGGACAGTTTTGTTATTTTTGAGTTCAATATTTAATTGTTTATAGGTGAATTTCCTTGCTTAATATGTCGTTGGTTGAAATAACACAGCATGATGAAGTTATTTACACTATTTTGGACAAACCACCTCCAGAGCCACCGAAGACTCCCAGGTACATTCTAAGTTTCTAACTCAGTCGTCAAACTCATAGTACACTAATTATTTGTGGATAGGAATTTAGTGGGTTGTTTATTCATTTGTAATATTATTGGTGCAATGAAGTACCTACATTATGTACTTGCTTACCTACCTACCAAGTAACTGTCATGCAGGATAAGAGCAACTCTACTAGCCCTCACCCACATATGCCTACTCACAAACGTGAACTTAACGTTTTCATATCTTTTGAGAGGATATAAATATTTAAAATGTTAATAGATTTAATTGGCAAAAGATTGTTGAATCCGCTGCTGCGCAATCCCCAATGCTTTGATTCCTTCATAATTACGCAAAAAATAGTATTCATGTAAATAAATCTTCTTATAAAAAGGCAATAGAGTCGCCGAACTTATAGCCACTCCACTTGTGTCTGCTTTGATAAATCAGCAATGGACACGACTTATCGAAACTTGACCATTTTAATAAAGTCTTATTTTTAGGTCAGTTGGCCGAGAGGTCGCAAGTAAGACTGCCGGCAAAGGGTTCGATTCCCGGATTGGGCAAAGTATTACTGGTTTTTTTTTAATTCTCAGTAGTAGCACGGAGTCTGGAATTGTACCCAGTATATGGCAATAGGCTCACCCCTATTACATGGGACTCATAACATAAATAGTGAAAAGCGGGTGTTACATTGTACACAGTGCCGTTGTACAGTGGCATAATGTGCACCTCTGCCTACGCCTTCGGAGATAAAACGCGTGATGTTATGTTTATGTGTTCTTATTTTTACGATAATTTGGTTCACATTTAGGTATTGTTCTAATCATTTCACTCTTGTTACTGTAGATGCAGTATCACACAGTTATTTAAGAGCAACTGCATAACTATAAATTTCATCATCGCGTTACAGATACGAGTCAAAACTTGAAAAAGAATTGAAGGAAGCTAAAAGACCAGAACTCCGTCGTACATTTGGATACGCTGAGACACCACTGAAACCCCCAACAGAGTTTTTGAAAAAGGGAGAAGGGATAGGACAGCCTATTAAAAAAACTGATCACAAATGTTATGTGTCTGGCAATCTCCCGCCGGTGCCGAAACGACCACCGCCTAAGAAGAAAGAAGAAAAACCTGCCGTCAATTTTAGAGTTATTAATATAAAGAAAGCTATAAAAACTAAGGGGAAACCAGTGGAACCCAGGTAAGTATAGTGTCCCGTCGTGACAACGGTCTGGTTTTGGTCGGGCGGCGAGCCACTCATGCTCGCCGTCCGCAGGCTCGCGCTTACGGGGACCGGTACGGTGGCCGGAGATCGTCCCGCGATCCCGACGCCCGGAGTGTCCTTCGCGATGGCTAGGTTGCGAGGAGGCAGCGCATTGGGGTCCGTTTCTACGCAGTGAAGTAGTAAGCCCGGTGGAGCTACCCTAAATCCACCCCACCCAGGGAGGTCCTTATGATCGTATACTGCTGAGCCACGGCGGCAGATATGTGAATAATCCGTTGTCGGAAGACGATGAGTCAAGGTTTATCCTGTCATTAATGTTAGCCCTGCTTGGTGGAACCCCTCCACCACGTCCGTTGCTGCGTATCCAGGCGTTTAATCGCTACAGAGATTCTTTGAGTACCTACTTTTCTGGATCCTAGAATCGTACCCAAGACCCATTTCTCGACATTTACTCTTACGACCATTCGATTAACGCATTCCAAATCTTTTTTTTTTACACATTTTAATAATGTAATCAGTGACTTCATTATGCTTTGTTAGCTAGAGCCCCTTGGTTGGTTAATATAACAGTGTCGACCAATCGTGTGTGTAGACAATCTTACGAATTATCCATATTAAATGTACCAAAATGGGTCAGTTCTTGAACTAGCAGAAACCTAGTCAGACATCGTAAAACAGGCCCTTAATTAGCATACTATGATATCCTTACAGGTTGGTAGATACGAGAGATGGTCACATAAAGAAGATAAAAGGTTCCGGGGAAGTTCCAGAATTCTGTCTCAGACCAGACTTTGGACAGATGCCAGCGTACCTGACGAAACGAAACAGAAAAATCCAGAAGGCTCTCGAAAAAATAAAATACGCCGAGGACAACAAAGAAAGTTTGTGCAAACTCATCACTGTTGAAGAACGCCAAAAACTGCTTGATGTGAGTTCGATGAAAACGTTTACTATTGCCGGAATACTGAAACGTTACTCAATTTTAAGTCGTGCTTAAATATCGTGTCATCTCTGTCATTTTACAAAGAATTTGTGGAGACAGAACTATACTTAAGCGCGACTTAAAATTGAGTAGCGTTTGAGTATTCCGACAATCAACCAATTTGAATTATCAATCCTCGACAATCATCTCACGTAGACAGTAGGAGACTGTGGATTGTCAGGAGTCGTTGATGTTGATGATCATGTTTAAACCAATTACAATACACGGTGGTCAAGAGTGAGAAAAGTTAAATCAAGATTCAACTTGAGTGCAGTGTTTGTACAATTAAGGCCACTTTTGCATGTCATCCATAACGTATCACTATCGTGATTTTTCGACTGCACATTTGGCACGGTGGCTGGGCAACTGCCTGCCGCGTAACGTGTCGCGGGTTCGACTCCCGCACGGAACAACTCTTTGTGTAATCCACAGATTGTTGTTCCGGGTCTGCGTGTCATGTGTATGTAAAATGTACGTTTGAACAAGTTTAAAAAAATAAATAAAACTGACACACGGTGAAGGTAAATATCGTGAGGAAACCTGGGCTTATAATTTCTAATTATAAGTTTGTAATCGCCAACCCGCCTTCAGCAAGCGTGGTGATTAATGAGTGCTCAAATCTTCTCTGTGTTAGAAAAGGCTTTGCTCAGCAATGGTCATTTTAATTTATAGGCTGTTGATGATGATGATTAAAACAAAATTAAAAATATGAATATAAGTTTAAATGGCTTAGCGTGTAAATATCCCATCACCAAATTCTACTATCTCAAAGAATTTTGTATTTTTTCTCTTCACAGGATCTAAAACTCAACTGGTCGTTGATGCAGAAGGCGTTCCTTCAACTACCAATGCTAACGGATACAATACCAAAGATCCTTCGCAAGACCAAAATGGAGGCAGACCTAAAGCAGTTAGAAAAAGACATAGCTTTAGTTGAGAGCAATCCTTACATTTATATCTATGAATAAGATTTCAAGGACTTGTTGCTTCAAGTTTTCAACTCATGAACTCATAATGTGATTTAGAGGATCGCCATGATTCTAGAAAGTTCGAAGTGGATAAATAGATTTCGAAAAACTCTTGACTTAATTAATCAAGGCGGTCGCGTAATTATTTTTCATATAAAAAACCTTTATAATCTTAGAATTACGTAACGATTGTTCGTAATCTCTTTGGTCTTAGTAATTTCGATCCGCCGCGCTGTCCTTGTGGATGAGTGTGGTTTCCAGTTCCAGTTTAAATTTGTCCTATCCTATTTACACCAATGCCGTCTGCCTGTATCGATCTTACCTCTGACATTTGTGTGTTAATATATAAATAGGTAGGTACATATGTAGGTGATCGGATGTTCGGAAATTCTGCTGTATTTGCTTTGAGGTTTCTAAGCTTTATTTAGGTCTCGCGACCTTTACCAAATTTAGTGTCTTTGTTTAGCTGAGACATCTTGTGAGCACACAAGTACGATTATGTTATTTAGTTTTTAGTACCGAAAAATGTGGCACTTTTATCAGTATATTTAGAGAAGATTGACATTTTTAATAAATCATGCGTGGAAGGAATCTGTGTTTCATTTTGGCGTTTCACATTATTTCGTAATTTATCAGTTTGCACCTTCAATTTTAAGTAATTGTCGCCTGATGCTAATTATAATAAGTTTACACGGTGTCCCTGAGCAAGGTATGAAGCTTGGGATGATCCGTTTCAGCGCAACCGACGTAGAAGACAACCAGGTACCACCGAAGTGGAAATTACCAGAGCGTCAGAAGATGGAGGCAGTGGAAGCTGATACCAAAGGCCTTAATAAAATATCGATCAAAATACAACGAAAATACAGTTGCCACCGGCGTAATGTTTGTTCAAACGAGACTCGTGCAAACAACTACCAATCAAGAGATTTGGGCTATAGAATCCGCTTTATTACAAGAACACTGCTTCGCAAAAACATGAGCTATTGAACATCACAATAGCCATGTACCTAGTTAGTGTGCTAAATCAACTCGCTAAGGTTTGGAAGAGCTACAGTCAAGCCTTGTTTGTGGAACCTGTAGCAAAATTTTACATACACTGAAACTGAACCCACAACTGACATGTTAGAACCCAGATCCTAAAATCACACAAGTAAAAGCTGTTCAACCATTTTGATTAGCTCTTAGGGCTCGAACACAAAACTGCGACGCGATGCGATGCGAATTCGCAACACAAAAAATTACGATGCGAATTGCTGCGATGCGATTTCGTGCGACAAGTCGTCTCCCAGGGTGAGCCTTCAGCGACCGTCAACTGTACTAAATTGAACGAGCGTATTTTAAATTGAAAACTAAGTCGTGAGTTCGTGACATGGATCGTAAAAAGAAGTATGCACTTCTGTTAGGAGATACATGAAAAAGAAACAAAGAAGATTTTGGGAAGATAAGAGTTGCGATCTGGATCGCAAGTTCTTGCGATGCGTAGAGGAAGCTCGCACATTTTTGTGATGTGACGTCGCATCGCAGTTTTGTGTACGAGCCCTTACTTCTGTTTCTAGGATAAGAATGGGAACACTACAGGACAATAGAATAGAATAATCTTTATTGTTGTTAATCTTATTTGACTGCACGGTTGGTGCGGTGGCTGGGCAACCGGCTGCCGTGCAACGTGTCGCTGGTTCGATTCCCGCACGGATCAACACTTTGTGTGATTCACAAATTGTTGTTTCGGGCCTGGATGTCATTGTGTATGTGAACTTCTATGTTTGTAAACGCACCCACGACACAGGAGAAAATCCTAATGTGTGGCAACGTTTTTTTAAAAGAAAAAAAATCTATAGGTACTATTCATTATATAGTAGGCATAGAGACAAAAGAAATTGTAACAAATAAATAAATAATTTTACGAGACAACTCTTGAGTAGATATAATGTAAAACAAATATTTAAACGGGTTGTATAGGCACTGCGAAAAAAAATATCAATAACCCGTAGGGCACCTTCAGGCGAGGTGACGAACATTAGCGACCCCGCGGGCTAACATCATCCCGAGTGCTCCAGGGAGATGTCACCGTTCTTTATTCTCCGGCTTGCCTTAACTGGCTGGCTGGAGTGAACTACTACAAGGAACAGGTATCCCACCTCTGGCTTGCCTTCATTGGCCGTCCAGAGTGGAGAGCAGTGATCCTGGTCGGAGGGTAAGAAACTATTCTTAAGTCGCGAGTGGGCTGGAGCAGACGATCTGAGTAAAAAGCGGTTAACTTAACCCTTCAGCCACTCACATTCTCGTTGTCCCTCTGTTGCTATATCTAACAACTATTCCCGGGGCCCGGTCGGTGAGTTAGCGAATCTCCACCTGCCATTTTTACATGTAATAATTACATTGTTTCGGCAGGTGCCATAGCCATCTATAGTTTCCAATTTACCAGTCCACAGCAACACCTCCATAGCCCTACCTTTTTTCAATTATTCACAATAGTTCTACACTAACCGAGGACTGTCCTTGGGTGTATTTCCATAGTGTATACAGGGATAGTCGACGGTTTGTGTGTCCATTACATTCAGATTAAAGTTATCTAAAGGGCCTCTGTGCAGTTGGCTTCGGGCCCTCGTAGGCCTCCCAAATAACCAGGGCCCTGTGGTCCCGTGTATGGTAAAGACATACATAATAATCTATTTTCAAATAACCAAATAGCATTTTTTTTAAGGGGGGAAAATCATCAAAGTCAAAGTCAAAGTCAAAATCATTTATTTCAATTAGACCAGTAAGGCACTTTTGAACGTCAAAACAAAATATTTAAATACTAAATAATAAGAAAAAAAAAAAAAAAATGTGTCAGTCTGTAAGTCAGTCCTCTAGTGAAGCTATTTGCTCGTTCCAAAGTGTAGATTCCTATGGAGAAGAACGAGCAAGAAACTCCATAGGTTACTCTTTTTCAATCATGTTCACAATACAATTTTTGGTTACATTCTTCCGTTGAGTTCAATAATGTGAGAACAATGTAATACCAATATTTGGTCAAGGAGACGGAAAAAGAAAATAACCTTGAGGACAACAAATTTAATACAGTCTGGAGCTGACCAGTCCCATTTGACAGCGCCCGTTCACGAACATGACACGTACACCAGCACCGCCCAACTCGACCATGTTATAGGGAATCGAGCGATCCACTGCCCGTGCCACTGCCAATGAGACTTTTGAGTGAGCATGACAACTCCAGGCTGACACACATGCATTCTACTAGTCTAATTTAATTTAGGTAGTTACAGGGCTCTCACATTTACAATAGTTACCTATATAAAGTTTTACAGTGTGTACATTTGAACAAAATGGCTGTATTTGACATGATTGGAACTCATTGGAACATCAATGTTTTTCGCTATCCTGTGGAGCCGGACCAGCATGCCTCCAAGCATTTTTATCCTCTATGTAATCATTAAGTTTGTAGTATGCTTTTCCGCATAACGTTTTTTTAATATATAATTTAAATTTTGACTCATTTAAATGTTGTATTTCCTCCGGAATTTTATTATAGCATTTAACACAGAATCCCATAAAGGACTTTTGTACTTTTGTCAATCTAAATAGTGGCTGACTTAGTCTATCCCTATGTCTAGTTTGATAGTGGTGTCTGTCAGACACTTTACCAAACAACTGTAGGTTCTTCCTAACATACATAATGTTTTCATAAATAAATTGACATGGAACGGTCATAATGTTGATCTCCTT